TGGTTTTTAGGGAGTTCTATACTGGTTATCACACCGGTTCACGGTCCAACCGATTAAACTGGCAGATTCGATTTTGATAACCATTTTTTTTATATAAATGTATATGAGTATGTATGAATCCTGAGAGGATAGGATAAAAAAACATTTTATTGTATGAATCCTTCGATTCTACAACCATGGGAATCCATGACACCAAGCAATTGCTTCACTACAACAACTCTCATTTCACGTGAGCATTTTTCTCAAGTTGTTGAAGGTGTCTAATCTTAGCTCTACTCCAACCAATTTGGAGACAACACAAGACCTTCACCTTAATCTCCACCCGTTCCCATTTAAAGTAAAGAATTATCTAAGGTAGATTGACAATAGCATTTTCGTCGCAACAAAATAATGGTAAAAAAGATAAACAAGTTGCTAAATTAATGCAATATAACTAACTCATGTCGAATCTCATAAGGACACAATTATAGGAATATATTCATTGTTAAGCATCATTTTCTCTAAAAATAGTGAATAACATTAAATAGGAGGTGATGAAAGAGTGAAAAAAATAAATTGATGCAGAATAATAAAAATTAAAATCAAATTGCAATAGAATAATAATAATAACAATAATTAAATTAAATTTAAGTTTAATTTAAATAACTAAAATTTATAAAATTAAAACAAAGTGCTTCTAATGAAATTCAAAAATTGTTAGAATAAAATGAAAAATAAAAAACTTTCTTTAAAATAAAATAGTACAATAATTAAATTCAAATTTTCTGAAAGTGATAACTCTAAAATTAAATTAAGAATTATAATTGGAATCGAAAAAGAAATTAATTGAAAATGGAAATTAAGTAGTATTGGAATAAAATAAAAATTTTAAACAATTAAATTGCAAAAATTAAAATAAGCACTGAACGAATAAAGTAAACACAATATAAACCAAAAAATTTAATAAAAATTCCAAATTAAATAAAAGAGAACAAACTAAAAGTGAAATAGTATTATATGAACTCATCTAACTAAAAACTAAGAACGAAATAGAAAACAGAGACGAGACAAAACAACAGCTTGCCCCGAAGCAGAAGTTTATGATTGTGTTCTCATCAAACCTCTATTTATAGGGGATTGAACAAGAGAAATTAAGCATGAAATTAATCATAACAAAAGCAATGTTTCCCAAATTAAAAATTGAAAAATTGGATTGTTGTGACAAGAATTTTTGGGACTGATTTGGAGAAAACAATATGCTTCTTTCCTATTTTGAGTAATCCAACACTAATTTGCATATAATTCTTGATTTTTGCTGGATTTTAATTCACCTAAATTGGGTTCTTGTACTAGTTCATTTACTTGATTCAAAATTTCTATTTGTAACATTTTGCAAGTGGGCTGCATAAGTAAACTTGGGCTTCGGAGAAGAGTCAAGCTTTGCTACATCAATTTCGGTCTTTATTTCCATCAATTTGACCTATCTCAAATCACCTTTCTCCTATAAAAAAAATGCATTGTGAATGTATGCATGCATATTTTTTTATGCTAAAACTATTCAAAATGTAACAAATTAAGAAAAATTGAATTATGTTATACTTTTAATGAAAATATTTTAAATGCATGATTTATGAAGAAAATAATTAGCTTAGAAAATGTTATTAGATCAAGAAATGAAAAATAAAATGACATTAATCATAGATAATTTATCCCTCAAAACTCCTTTCAACCTTTTCCGTTGTTAACATCATCTTAAATCTCATAATATTGGGATTGGAGCAAAAGTGAAATGAAAGAAAATTGTCCAAATTTTCTCCTCCAATGGGCAGTGGCGGATCTTGACCATTGATCTTGGGGGCCAAATAATATATTATTAATAAATAATAAATAAATATAAAAAGAAGAAAGAAGATGAAAGGGTGAAAAGATAAAATTCTAGATATATACTTAAATATATTAAATGATCATTAAGTTTGAGGGGAACAAAATCATAAATTATATGAGAGTTACAAAATTGAGGAGGAGTTTGAGAGGATAAAATTGTAAATATATAAGTAAATATATTAAATGTTCATTATGTTTGGGGGAACGAAAATCATAAATTACATTGGAGTTACAAAACTTTGGGCCCCTCAGCTCCCAAGAAGATCCGCCACTGCCAATGGGTACCCTCCTAACATGAAGAAATGTCTCTTATAAATTATATGATTAGTATATTTTTTTTTTCAAATTTGAATGATATAAAAAGTAATTATTATTAGGATTGTTAAAATAAGCAATTTGGTCTAACTTGATTTAATCTTATAGATTAAATAAAAAAAAATGATAACTTAATTTAAACTATATTTTAAAATGAATAATAATTTATTTTAGTCCTGTGCTAGCCAATAAACTAATGATTAAACTTTAATCTAATTAAAAATTATGAAAAAAATATATTAACGTATCAATATCAAAATAATAATTAAAAAATATTTAAATAAAATAAAAAATTTTAAAATATATTTTAAAATTTAAGTTAGATTAATGAAATTAATTTTTATTTTAGATATATATTGATTTAATATATATATATATATATTAAGAGAAAGGATTCATTAGGTCGCAATATAAAAGTTAAAAATTTAGTTTTTATATATTTTGAAATAAGTGAAGGTTAGATACTTACTAGTCAAATTAATTTACAATACATATATTATTTTATAAAACAGATTAACCTCTAAGTATATATACTAACCTAACCATTATGTTATTACTTAAATAGATTGAGCAAATATATGTGAGTGTTTGTGTGTGCGCGTGTATGTGTGGATGAGGGTCTTTTGAGGAAGGATTGATTGGGGAGAAACATAAGTTTAATCTATTTAAGAGGTTAACATCACATTTAAAGGCGCAACCAGGGAGGATGTGGGGTGACCATGTGCCCCCCAAAATTTGATTTTTATTTTTTATATATATTATTATAAAAATTAAAAATTAAATAAAATTATTTCTTAAATATCAAAAACTAATTATTATATTTTTTATAAATAATAATAATAATGATAATAATAATAATAATTATTATTATTATTATTATTATTTATTATTATTTATTAGTATTTATTATTTTCTCTTTATTTTTTATTTTTATATTTTTTTCTTCCTCCTTTTCACTTTTTATGCTTCAATTTTAAATATTTATATTTTTACTTTCTTATTTTTACTTTTTTATTATTATTCTTTTACTTGCATATGTTCTCTTTCACAATTTTATTTTTAAGTATAAAAATTATAAATTTTTTCTTTATAATTTTTTTTAAATAAACAATATCTTACTGTTTTTGAAAATATTATTGAACAATTTATAATATAAACTATATAATAATTAATGTTTTTTATAATATAAATATTTTAAATACAATTAAAACATATTTAATCTCAAATATTTATTTTATGTCAATATGGTAAATAAGTTTTAAAAATTTTATATAATATATATATATATATATATATATATATATATATTATCATAAATAATTTTAATAAATTCAAATTGGCCTCCTCAACAACAAATTTAGTTTTGTCCCTGATCATATTTAACCCTAAACTTTAAGATATTTTGATATGTGTCTTTCTTTTTTATTTGTTACTTAACTTTCATTTAAATTTCCCAACACTCAAGTGTGAGTCCCTTCACCAGGGAGAGACAACACCACCAGTAGTGACCCTTGTCGTTCATCATAACGGGACATGCTTACCTGACCCCTCATCAGGAAGATTTTGAATATAGATATCACTCTTAAACTGTTGATCACCACATATAGAAATCACTCTTAAACTGTTGGTCACCACACAAATCGTACCACTGATGGGTCTTTTGAGGGGGAGAGACAACATCAATGAAACATGAGTTCAACCCATATAAGAGATTGATACCACCCTTAACCAAAAACCTTAATACATTGGATTGTGTGTCTTTTTTCTTTATATATTAGTGAACTTTCTTATTTTTACTTAATGTGAGACTTAGACTCTTTCTTATATTTTCTAATAATACATGTGTGTATTTATTTATGTATATATGCACGTGCATGTGTGTGCGTGGGTGTGTATTTGTGTCTAGGCGTGTTTCTTTATGTGTGTAGGGGCATGTGGTGTGTATGGTACATGTGACATGTATCTTATAATTTTTATTTTTATTTAAAAGAAAACCAATTCAATTTTTGATACAAAAATTTTGACAAGAAATTCAGTTACGTTGAATTTAAATTAATTCTTTATAAATTTAAATTAATGTTTACATACATTATTTTATATAATTTTTCAATATTTTTAGCTTATAAAAAATATTATATAAATTATGAGATTTCTTAAATCTATTAAATATATATTAATTAATAAAATAATGTAAATAATTATTCTATGATAAATAAATAAATTTTATATTATTAAGATATTAAATAATATTAATATAAATATAATTTATATTGATAAAAAAATTCATTCTTTATATATATATATATATATATATATATATATATATATATATATATTTCCTATTTATTACTGTATATTCCTAATAGAACACCTCGTATCTTTCTTTTATATAAATCCTTAACCAAACACTTGTCAATATATAGTCAAGTTTAAAAATATTAAATCACATAAGTTTACTTAGAAATTTAAAAGATAACTATCCTAGTGAAATAATAAATGATTTTGATTGTAACATACGTTACATTTATAACACTGGACCCTCTTACGTGTAGGGATTTACCAAATTTCAGTCATACATGAATGTAAGACGAAGACAGAAGTAAACCATGGGCCTCTAATATTGTTTTACTTAGAAATCACATTTTTCTTTGATACACTCTAAGTATCCACGTGCGCTAACCTAAGAACCTAACACTCTTGCCCCCAACATTAAAATGAGAATCACCATTCCTAACTTGTCAAATTGTCATTGAACCATCAACTTTTCCCCTATATATAAAAACGACTCAATTGCACAACCTTGCCATCTTCAATTACACAAAATGACTTTTGATGCATTCTATGTGAGAGAACTTGGTGCTGCGGTTCTCATCTTCTTCATATCACACTTTTTCATTAAATCAATCATCACAAATTCCAAACATCTACCACCAGGTCCAAGAGGATGGCCAATTCTTGGCGTTCTACCACTGTTGGGCACCATGCCTCATGTCACGCTCACAGACATGGCCAAGAAATTTGGACCCATCATGTTCCTCAAAATGGGCACTTGTGACACTGTGGTTGCCTCAAGCCCAGATGCAGCCCAAGCATTCCTGAAGGCCTTGGACCGGAATTTCCTTAACAGGCCCACGATCGCTGGGGCAATCCACTTGGGGTACAATGCACAAGACCTAGTTTTTGCCAATTATGGGTCCAAGTGGAAGCTCCTTAGGAAGCTAACCAACCAACACATGCTTGGTGGGAGGGCCCTTGATGATTGGGCCCATGTGAGGGCAAGTGAGTTGAAACACATGGTAAGAAGCATGCATGAGTGTGCCAAACAAGGGGAATTAGTAGTGCTGGGTGATATGTTGAGTTGTGCAATTACTAATATGGTGAGCCAAGTGGTACTTAGCCATAGAATATTTTCAAATAAAGGGTTGGAGTCTAAGGAGTTTAAGGACATGGTGGTGGAATTCATGACAATATCAGGGGTGAACATTGGTGATTTTGTACCTTTCGTTGCTTGGATGGACTTGCAAGGTGTGGTGGGGAAGATGAGGAGGTTGCATAAGAGGTTTGATGTATTTTTGACCAACATTATTGAGGAGCATCTCAAGTCTTCTGATGACCGTAAGGGGATGCCAGATTTTCTTGACATTTTGATCACAAATGGCGAACATCCTTCTCGAGAGAGACTGACTTTGTCCAACATCAAGGCTCTATTGTTGGTACATCTCTCTTTCTTTCTCTTTTTCTAATTATCTATTCCTTTTTTATGCATGACCCCTTTTAAAAGTTCATTAGTAAAATATTTAAATAAATTTTTAGTCTTGTTACATAGGATTTTAGTTAAAATAATTAATGTACATGAATGTTGACTGCAACAAATATTGATAATACAGTTAATTGCAGGTTGAATTAGTTATTATTAATCCATCTAATTCCACCAATATACATGTGTGTTTTTACTAAAATGTATGTTTTTCTGTGAAGAATTTGTTTACTGCAGGCACAGACACATCATCAAGCATCATAGAATGGGCACTAGCTGAAATGTTGAAAAATCCCAACATTATGATTAGGGCACAGAAAGAGATGGATAAAGTAATAGGAAGAAAAAGACTACTTGTTGAATCAGACCTACCCAAATTACTATACCTTGAAGCAATATGCAAGGAGACATACAGGATGCATCCATCTACAGCCCTTAGTGTTCCCAGGGTGGCAAGTGAAGCATGCAATGTGAATGGATACTACATCCCCAAGAACACAAGGTTAAATGTGAATATATGGGCCATAGGGAGAGATCCCAGTGTGTGGTCAAAGCCATTAGAGTTCAATCCAGAGAGGTTTCTTGGAGGGAAGAGTGCAAAAGTTGATCCTAGTGGAGTTTACTTTGAGTTGATTCCCTTTGGAGCTGGAAGGAGGATTTGTCCAGGGTATAGAATGGCTATTGGGGTTGTTGAGCACATTTTGGGCGCTTTGGTGCATTCTTTTGACTGGAAGTTACCAAATGGTGTAGAGCTAAACATGGATGAAGCCTTTGGACTCACTTTGCAAAAGGCAGTGCCTCTCTCGGCCATGGTTAGCCCCCGGTTGCTCCCAGATGCTTATGTTTGATACCATGCATATGCCTATAATAACTTTCTCCATATATACTTATACATCACGTGAGATATTTACACCATCTCATAATGACAAAGTTAAAAGTCAAAATTAACTCGCTATATAAGGATTCTCCATACCTACTTGAATATTATTAGGTGAAATATTTAGATAATTTCATTTGGGCAGAACTAGATATTAGTTATCAATGTAAACAAATATATCTAAGATCATATTTAATATAATATTTTAATTATGTTTGACAATATTTATATTATAAAAATTATCCATTATTATATTCGATGTAATAAACTTAGTAAATTAGGGTGTGTTTTATCATTTATCCTTTTGTTTCTCAGAAATAATCTTCTATTTACATTATTTATAGAATTTAATTTTAGTAAATTAGAATTTATTTTATCATTTATTTATTTTTTCTTTTCAAAAACACTTGAACATCTCTAAAATTTAACATGATTTTTTTTATATTTTAAAATCAAAACAAAATATTATAAAACACTAAAATAACTAATTAACTAATGATAAATAAAAAAATATTGTATTAATATGGTATATTTCTATATTACACATGTTAATATGTTATAGTTGCAAAAAACAATAAAAAAATTATTTCTTTCTTCGCTTCAAAACAAATATTATGGATTATCTCTTTTAGTTATAAACTTCTTTTCCTCATATCTTCGAACAAATATAAGAGAAAAAAATTAAGGAGAGACCAAAAAAAAAAAATTATAATTTTTTATGTTTTATAGGTGAAATAGTGTATTATAAAATTATTAAAAAAAACTTTGAATTTTTATACTACAAAGTGAAATGCAAAATACAAAAATATGGGAGTGAAAAAGAAAAAAAATGTAGAAATAAAATATACATGATATAAAAAATGTTAGAAATTGCAAAGTGAAAGGTGAAAATGTATAAGTACGAAAATAGAAAAACCATAGATAAAAAAATATAAGTTAAAAATTAAATAAAAGAATAATATTTAATATTATTATTATTATTAACCTTAAGATGAAAAAAGTAATAAATAAAATAAAATAAAATAAATTTTATTTACTTTTAGAAAGTAAATTTGATTCATTTTATGAAAGAATTAAACAAAATTTGGGGACCATG